TGTAATTTGAATGTTGGTGCATTTAATGTTGTCCCAGATGGCTCTGAAAGTGTCCTCAATTCTTTTCATTTTTATTCATTCTGCTCTGCATTATTTATTTCCACTCTTTTTGTTTGTTTGTTTGTTTTTGCAGTACGTGGGCCTCTCACTTTTGTGGCCTCTCCCGCTGCAGAGCACAGGGTCCGGACACGCAGGTCCAGCAGCCATGGCTCACGGACCTAGCCACTCCGCAGCATGCGGGATCCCCCTGGACCAGGGCATGAACCCATGTCCCCTGCGTTGGCAGGCGGACCCCCAACCACTGCGCCACTAGGGAAGCCCGTTATTTCCACTTTTTAATCTTTCAGGTCACTTATCCATTCTTCTGCCCTGGTTTTTCAGCTATTGATTCCTTCTAGAGTATTTTTAGTTTCATTTATTGTGTTATTCATCATTTGTTTTCTCTTTAGTTCTTTTAGGTTGTTGTTAAACTTTTCTTGTATTTTCTCCATTCTATTTCCAAGATTTTGGATCATCTTTACTATGATTACTCTGAATTCTTTTTCAGGTAGACTATTTCTTCTTCATTTGTTTGGTCTGCTGGGTGTTTACCTTGCTCCTTCATCTGCTCTGTGTTTCTATGTCTTCTCAGTTTGCTTAACTTACTGTGTCTGCTGTCTCCTTTTTGCAGGCTGCAGGCTCATAGTTCCCATTGTTCTTGGTGTCTGTCCCCAGAGCATAAGGTTTGTTCAGTGGGTTGTGTAGGCTTCCTGGTTGAAGGGACTAGTGCTCATGTTCTGGTGGCTGAGGCTGGATCTTGTCTTTCTGGTGTGCAGTACCATGTCCGGTGGTGTGTTTTGTGGTGTCTCTGACCTTATTATAATTTTAGGTAGCCTCTCTGCTAATAGGTGGTTTTGTGTTCCTGTCTTGCTAGTTGTTTGGTATTGGGTGTCCAGCACTGTAGCTTGCTGGTCATTGAGTGAAGCTGGGTCTTGGAGTTTAGATGGAGATATTTGGGAGATTTTCGCCATTTGATATTACTTGGAGCTGGGAGGTCTCTTGTGGACCACAGTCCTGAACTCGGCTCTCCCACCTCAGAGGCACAGGCCTGATGCCCGGCCAGAGTACCAAGAGCCTGTCATCCACACTGCTCAGAATAAAAGAGAGAAAAAAAGAAAGAAAGAAAGAAAACAATAAAATAAAGTTATTAAAATAAAAAATAATTATTAAAAATAAATAAAATTTTAAGTAATTAAAAAAAGAAAGAAAGAAGAGAGCAACCGAACCAAAAACCAAATCCACCAATGATAACAAGTGCTAAAAGCTATACTAAAACAAATAATGGACAGACAGAACCCTAGGACAAATGGCAAAAGCAAAGCTATACAGACAAAATCAAACACAGAAGCAAAAACAGTCACAAAAAGAGAAAAAGGAAAAAAAAAATCATTGTTCTCAAAGTCCACTGCCTCATTTGGGGATGATTCGTTGTCTATTCATGTATTCCACAGATGCAGGGTACATCAAGTTGCTTGTGCAGATTTAATCCACTGCTGCTGAGGCTGCTTGGAGAGATTTCCCTTTCTCTTCTTTGTTCGCTCGGCTCCTGGGGTTCAGCTTTGGATTTGGCCCCGCCTCTGAGTGTAGGTCGCCTGAGGGTGTCTGTTCCGGTCCAGACAGGACGGGGTTAAAGGAGCAGCTGATTAGGGGTCTCTGGCTCACTCTGACTGGGGTGGGGGGAGAGAGCAGCACTGAATGCAGGGTGAGCCTGCGGCGGCAGAGGCCAGCATGATGTTTCAACAGTCTGAGGTGGGCCGTGTGTTCTCCCAGGGAAGTTGTCTCTGGATCACGGGACCCTGGCAGTGGCAGGCTACACAGGCTCCTGGGAGGGGAGATGTGGATAGTGACCTGTGCTTGCACACAGTCTTCTTGGTGACTGCAACAGCAGCCTTAGTGTCTCATGCCCATCTCTGTGGACCTCGCTAATAGCTCCGGCTCATGCCCACCTCTGGAGCTCGTTTAGGCAGTGCTCTTAATCCCCTCTCCTCATGCACCATGAAATAGGCAAGAAAACGTCTCTTGCCTCTTAGGCAGGTGCAGACTTTTCCCTGGACTCCCTCCTGGCTAGTTGTGGTGCACTGGCCCCCTTCAGGCTGTGTTCATGCGGCCAACCCCAGTCCTCTGCCTGGGATCTGACCAAAGCCTGAGCCTCAGCTCCCAGCCCCCGCCCGCCCCGGTGGGTGAGCAGACAAGCCTCTCGGGCTTGTGAGTGCTGGTTGGCACCAATTCTTCTGTGCTGGAATCTCTCCGCTTTGCCCTCCACACCCCTGTTGCTGCGCTGTCCTGCATGGCTCCAAAGCTTCCCACCTCCGCACCCCTGTCTCCGCCAGTGACGGGGCTTCCTAGTGTGTGGAAACCTTTCCTCCTTCACAGCTCCCTCCACTGGTGCAGGTCCCATCCCTATTTTTTGTCTATGTTTTTTTCTTTTTTCTTTTGCCCTACCCAGGTACGTAGGGAGTTTCTTGCCTTTTGGGAGGTCTGAGGTCTTATGCCAGCATTCAGTAGGTATTCTGTAGGGGTTGTTCCACATGTAGATGTATTTCTGATGTAGTTGTGGGGAGGAAGTTGATCTCCACGTCTTACTCTTCCGCCATCTAGAATCTCCTCCCGAAGAGAGTCATTTTAACCCACTGTCACACTCCCTGCCAGGAACCGCCTGCCTCCCATGACTGGCTAATGCAGGGATTAAAGGCCTGGCTACTTTCCCCACTTCAAGACAACTCCAAAAGGCCATCACAGCTTCAGAATTACTAGCAGCGTCAGCTGAGGCCTTCTCTCTCTTCCCAGCCCTGTTTATTTCTCCTCCACCTACTGTTTTTGATCCTGAGAGCACTCCCTGATAAATTTCCCCCATGCAAATCACCTGGAAGTTTGCTTTCTGATGAGCCCAACCTGCTCCGCTTATGGAACTTCCTAACAGTGGGCCAATTAGAGGTTGAACACTTTACATATGACAAAAGGAGTACCACAAGGGACAAAAGTGATTTTGCTAGTAAGTTCTGCTACTTATTGACACTAAAATGATTGCCATGTTCATTGGGATGTCAATAAATACACCCCACTATTTTTTCAAGTCTCATTTTCAATAATATCATATTCATATATTCACTCCCAATGACATTTTAGGTCTTTACAAAAGCCTTATGAATTCAAGGTTCAAGAGACCAAAGAAGATCCTAAAATGAGATCCATCTGAATTTAGAGGACTTTTCAGACTCAACTTCATGGTATTCAGAACTACATTAGTGATCTCTGTCTCCCTTTATAATTTGATGATCAAAGTAGAAGTTAGGATGATGACTGAAATAGAGTAGAAGTAAAAGCCATTCACTCATGTATTCAATTCAAGTAACATTTTTCTGGAACTCTCTATAAAAAGCTGTTGCTGTTATTGTTGTTCTTACTTGGAAGGCTAAAAGAAGTTCAGAAGAGGTGACAGAAAAAGTAGGGTCTGGGTCAGAAGTAAGGTTTATCCAACCTAGCACAAGATGGCACAGATAGGTTTGAGCCATTATCAGGAAGCACTAAAGCTATAGCCAGAATACTGCCAGGTATCAATCGAAGGGTGAGACAAGGAAGAAGATAGGAGAAGGCTGATTCTTGAGAAAATAAGACATTGCACAGAATCAAGTATCTGACACAATTTAAAGCACACGGTTCAGAACTAAGCCTGTGTGGATGGTAAGTAGGTGTTGGAGCTTCCATTCTCAGGTTGCCTGGTACATGTAACAGGTATCCAAGTGGTGACTTCATTGCTGCCCTGGATAACCTCTTAGTTTTCATCCCCTTTTCCTTACACTCATCTCCTCAATATCTCACCCATTAAAAATGACAGTGGGGACTGGCAGGTGGAGAATGTGATGGTAAATAGAGGCTCACAAGTCCCCTTAAATATCAAACCCCAGCCATACATGTATTCCTTCTCCACACATATTTCCCCCCACTGGAAAAAGCAACAGCTCTCCTACGTACCACATTCTAGGACACCCTGTGATCACATAACAACAGAGGTCTCCCAAGTGCTGTGTACCAGAGAATGGGTTTTTCCCTCTTCTGATGAGGTGGAAGCATCCTGACAGGCATCTTTGCACAAAACATCCTGTTTTAGCCTATATGGGGCTGACAGGTCGGGGAAAAATGGAAATCTAAATTCCCTCAGTCCGGATTATCCTCTTTTGTAACATCCTTGATTAGATCACAGGCTGGAGAAGCAAGGGTGTAACTTGCCCAGACTGTAAGACTCCCGGCCAGAGTTGGTGACTAATAGTACAGAGCTGTAGGTTAGTGTGTGGTTGTTGTTCTTTGTAAACTGTGTCAGGTTAGGTAAGGTAATTGTAATCCTAATTTTGAGATACCTCAGATGAGCCCCAAATATCTTAAAGTGTGACTAAAAATTCTCAAAATAAAGTTGCTCTTACTTTTCTTCTACTTAAAAATAGGCTACATGAGAATTTAGAAAAGGATGCCATGTTTGGCCTGGAGAATACACCCAAAATATATTAGTATCTGCAGTTCCTTTCATACTTCTCTCCCTATAATTCTGGATTGCCAAAAAAATTAGGAATCACTGGCCTGAGGTTTCCAAAGTTAGGGTCTATCCCTTTCCCAAGTGACAGCCACAAAACAAACATTGTATCAGACCCCATCTAAACAAAGGATAAAGATAAACTAAAAAAATATCTAGTAATGTGCTCTGTGACCTTGAGCAACAGTTCTCCCCTTTCTGGGCCTTAGTGTTCTAACTTAAATCCAGAAGACCATAAGCTCTAACACCCAGCCCAAAAATGATCTGACCAGACACAGGCCAAACCTCACCCCAAGCCACCTGGAGATTTTACTATTCACGAGTCTTGGCTCCTCCCACTTCCCTTTCAATACCTTGGTTAAATAGCTTCCCCTCTAATGGTTTTTGCCCTGGAAGCAGCACGTCCCAACTCCAGCCAGAAGCAGCTCACCCCAGAATGAGAGCTGCCACCCTCCTTATGGCCAGGACAGCAAGCCTTCGCCTTAGCCTCCTGCTTTCCTTCTGGCTGGACCGAGGTGTAGGAGCCAAGGAGCTGAGGTTTGTGACATTGGTGAGTAGACTTTCCTCATTGCTTTTCCCTTAAAATTGTTACCAGCAGGATCTGAAAATCAAGTGTCAGGTTTCATTTTACCTTAGTGTAGTCTCCTGAAGACCAAACACAGAAAGCTGAATATGCAAGTTTTGCAACTCTTCATAATGAAGAGCAAACATGTCCTGACAAAAGCCCGTTTGGTTTGGTTATTTTTTACTTCACCAATGTTATTTATCTATTCACTTACTTTACAATGCCTTGAATGTAGATTCCTTTTGATAGCTCCTCGAGGCCAGGAGACACCTCCTCTAGGTCTGTTTAGCACCAGAAGCTAAACTGGCTTCATTCAATTTAATGATTATGTGTTGGCAAGCCAAAAAACCGTCATTTTCTAAATTTAGTAGCCCCTTCACTTTTTCCTGATATATTTATAAGAGGTCTTTGAAGCATGAAAGTAAAACTAAACTCGAGTTGTAGGATGACTTCCTGAAGCATAGATTTGGTTGACCATTAAAATCATGTTTTTCCTAACCCATGGTATGTGTGACAAGTTAGGAAAGGGGGGATGGGGCAGCTGCTGTATTGTTGTCAAGGAAAGAAAATATACTGTTGGCATCGTCTTAAAAATATATATAGAGAGAGAGTTTGCAAAGTAAAGGGGATTTACTACTTTACTGTCTTGGAATTAATTCCTTTATATCTCTCACTTTCTGCGGGGTCTTTGATTCTCTATTTCTCTTTTTTCTGTTTCACTCACTGTCTGTCTCTGCCTCTGACTCTCTCCTTGCAATTTGCAGGCTTTCTTGATCTCTTTTTCTTCATCACATTTTTTCATTTGATAGAGTGAAAGTATGCTGATAAGTACATTTTCTTTCTGAAAGAATATCCAAATTTTATTTTTATAATTTCAAGGAAAGTCAACTTTTACTTAAAAATTAAACATGGAGTTCTTATTTTTCTCAGCTTGCTGTACTCAGGACTCCTTTCTTTATTGTCTAAAGAAAAATTTCATAACCATATGTTTATGCAAATCATGATTTTTAGTCCAATAAATCTTTACTAGGTCATGAGTCAACAATGAGAGAGAGAGACCAGCAATGAGAGAGAGAGAGAGAGAGACCAGAGAAATATATCATTAATTTATTTATGAATGATTCACCAGCTGTCAGGCTTCTGTGTTAAAAAAAAAAGGTGTAGAACACTGTGTACTTTATATAGGGAAATCCATGTGAGTTAGACTTTTACTTATATCACTGTGTTCCTTGCAAACATGAGCATTAAGCAAGTGTAGGGACTCTGCAGGAATTGTACTGTCAACACCATGACAAGCTGGTTGAGGGGAAATCCTCTTTGGAATATTACAGTGAACTCTCAGCTAACGGCATCTGGTCCATTCTCTCCTCCATGTTTTACAACATCAGGCTGACTTCCCTTAGCTACCAAACTGTTGTGGGTTTCCTTTCTCCCTCTGCACTCTCAGTTAGCATGTGTTCAGGGACTACAAGTTAATACTAAGTTGTTAATACCTAAGAAAAACTTTACAAAGGTAACTCTCTAGGAGCTAAAAAAAATTGAACAATTACCACACATGACTAATAACAATTTTTCCTACCTCAACTTTCTTCCATTAGTGGTAGATTAAGGGCAACTTAATACATCTTTCTTTGCCGGAAGATATCACTGTCTTCTTTTTACTGGTTAAAGAGAATATCTGACTATAAATGGTTCAATTATATACCCAGGAAATTCCCTAGAAAATTATTAGGAGAACAAGAATAAAAGAAAGATACCTCTGATTAAAGTGATAATATTAATGACAATAACCAATAGTTACTTAAATTTTTACTATGTGCCAGGCACTGTTCTGAAATTTCAATGGATTATGTTACATTATCCTCCCAACAGCCCTATAAAATAAGGTTACCAGAAAACACAGGATGCCCAGCTAAATTTGAACTTCAGATAAACAGCAAATAAAGTTTTAGTATGTGTACGTTTCCATGCAATATTTGGGCATGCTGCATTTTTGTTTGCTAAATCTGGAAACCATTCTATAACGTTTTTGTAAAAACCTTATTAACTCTATTAACCCTGTTTTATAGATGAAGGAATTGAGGCACAAAGAGATTAAGCAACTTGCTCATGGTCACACAGCTAGGATTTGAACCCAGGCTGTATGATCCCAGAAGCCTGCCCTTAATCACTAGACACATTCTGTTCTTGCTGCGTGTGCCTAACCCAGTACAAAAAGCTGAGGCTTCTCCATCCAGTGTATTGGCTTCATTCATAGTCAGCAAGTGGTTTCCTTGCTTTTTTTCTACTGTGATACAAAAAAAGAAAACAAATCTTCCCCGGTTCTGAAAAACTGTTCTTGGCAGAAAGAGCAGGAAACTGTCCGGTTCTTGTTCTCTCTCATGAACAGAGTCACCACATGCTCTTTTGAAACAGGTTCACCAGTGTGCATCCATTGGAATGCTAGTTTGACAAGTTGTTAACCGGTGTTTCAAAGGTCAAATCAGATTGGAGAAGAAAACGTGGGTTAAAATGTTTTTAAAGGTCTCTTAAATGCAGAACTTTTCAGAGTCTTTAATATTCTAATATTTACTGTGGCTTTCAAGGAAAGGATCTAGTAAATTATATTTCCTAAATTTTGACTACAGAATACACTTCCTCTTTTTTCCATAATGTCTCATTGAAAACCCTTAGAGAATTGCCATTTTATAATTTATAGAGAGAATAATAAGTATGGTGAGTCTCAAGGTACCCATCAACCAGCTTCAGTAATTATCACTCATGGCCAACCTTGTTTCATCTATATGCTGAAGCACTCTTAATGGACTTGTTAAGAGTAATCCCATACATCATTATTCCATCCATAAATAGGGAAATGCCATTTTAAAGCATTCTCTCTCCCCTAAGCCAGGAAAACCCACAAGTTCAGGTGATCTCAAAGAGAATAATTCCTTCTCATTCTACCTGGGTTTTACAAAGAAAGGGATGATAAGTCACAAAGTCTCATTCTTCGTGGTTAACCATGCAAAATTTCTGCTCAAGTAATAGAATATCCTTGATGCAAATAACCTCCAAATCTTCAGCACATCCTCTCTATACTGGGATGGGTAACTTCCATACGGTGGTTAGGTAAACTCAAATGGTTCTGGCCACCACACACTTTCAGGGATGGCAGACCTTCTAGGTTTTTCCTCAGTCCTCCAAGGTAAGCAACAGATTGACAATTTACTGCTCAGGCTGGCAGTCTAATACTTTTACCAATTTTCTAATGCTATGTGCTAAAATAAAAGTTCAAAGCCATACCTAGGAAAATTAATTCAAGTTCTAGCATAATTTACCAGGTATAGGATTGAGAACAGGTCACTTAATCCATCTGAGCCTCAAATTTCCTAAACTTAAAGTTGGGGTTAACAATCATAACTATAATTTCTATTTCATAAAGTTGTCTTTAGGTTCAAATGACATGATATACATAGGTAAGTGTGAACCATGATACAAATGTAAGGTGCTGCTGTTAGTCACCTGTCTAAAACAGAAACTTTCCAACTTTTTGGATAAAATCTAGGTGACCCTTAATTATTCATTTTTTAAATTGTGGTAAAATACGCAGGACATAAAATTTTCCATTTTAAGCATACAGTTCAATTGTATTAGGTGTATTCACATTGTTGTGCTACCATTAAAACTATCCATCTCCAGAATTCCCTTCATCTTGCAAAACTGAAACTTCGTATCTATTAAACAGCAATTCCCCAGCCTCCTCCTCCTCAGCCCCCACAATCACCATTCTACTTCCTGGCTCTATGAATTTGACTACTTCACATACCTTGTGTAAGTGGAATCATACAGTACTTGTCTTTTTGTGACTGGCTTATTTTAAGGCTTATTTAAGTCCTTAAGGTTCTAGTTGATCCTTCATTATTATTATTATTATTATTATTATTATTTTTTTCTTGCGTTATGCGGGCCTCTCACTGTTGTGGCCTCTCCCATTTGCGGAGCACAGGCTCCGGACGCGCAGGCTCAGTGGCCATGGCTCACGGGCCCAGCCGCTCCGCGGCATGTGGGATCTTCCCGAAATGGGGCACGAACCCGCGTCTCCTGCATCGGCAGGCGGACTCTCAAGCACTGCGCCACCAGGGAAGCCCTGATCCTTCATTATTTTTCAGCAAAGAAAACTTAAGGTATTAGATAGTTATCATGTCCTCTAGAACCACAGGCTAACAGCTTACCTTGTTTGTACTCAAGTCTCCCCCACCTGTGAATTCTAATGTATTTTGTCTTGGGGGAGACACACATCTGTATGTAAGTACGGCTTGAGGAGGGGAGAAGCTGGAGGTGGCAAATAGAGACTGGATACTACCACAGGTCAGGAAAAGCACAGTGAAGACCTGAGTTGGATCAGAAAGCAGTAGAATTGGAAAAGAAAAAAATGAGTGTCTTTTAAAAATTGTGAGGGTAGAAGAATCCCTGTGGGTTGACTGTGGATATTAAGGAAGAGAAAGAAGTCAAAATGACCCTGTTTTCTGTTGGAAAAAATGATGAAGCCATGAGATAGGGTACGTGAAAGGCATTAAACATTTGAACTTCTTAGAAATATGAGAGGGAATTCCCTGACGGTCTAGTGGTTGGTACTCAGTACTTTCTCTGCTGGGCCCCTAGGGTTCAATCCCTGGTTGAGGAACTAAGATCCTACAAGGCAAGTGGCACCACCAAAAAAAAAAAAAGTAGAAGAAGAAGAAACGAAATAAGGGATATAAACACCAAAGAAATTTATAATACTATGTATTACACAACACCATACAGCACAGTGGTTAAAAGTACAGGTTCATGAATCAGACCACCAGGGTTTGAATGCCAGCTCAACCTTTTCCAAGCTGTGTGACTTTGGATGAGTAACTTAACCTACCTGTGTCTCAGTTTCCTCATCAGTGAAATGGGGATAATAGTGTTTCATGGAGTTATTGTGAGGCTTAACTGATTTAATACACAAAAGTACTTAGAAG